GAACAAGGCCGAGAGATATCGCCCGACGTGCTCAATTGGGACATCACTACTGTCAGCAAATTACTTTCCATTCATTTTGGGGACACGGGTCGTGATGGCTACAGATTTGCGGTGTTACTGACCACTTTGCCCCGGGAGAAGTTATTCGCAAGGTAGATAGACGCCTACTGGTTCCTGAGCTATCACGCTAACGAAACTAGAATCCACCCTTTCCTGGAGACTAAGATTGAGGACAGCGCTTTTCTTGCCTCGTTCTTTGTCTCGGCCTATGAATTCTCACATACTGATAATATCGATAAAAGTGTGGTCGATGCAATACTCAAAGTTCTTTTCCCGCAATTTGCCCGCGCTTTCCATATTGAACGCGAGCATACCTTTCATCCCGTCACTTCATATGGCGCCTACTCCCGGAAACATGCCTTGACTTTCAGCGTTAAACCGGATACGGTTGTAAAAGTGCTCCGGATAAGTGATATCAAGGACATTGACACCACGGCATTATTCGATACCCTCACGGAGTTTGCGCTAAATCTGCAAGGAAACGACATGAATCGTGTTTTCTCCGACTTCCTGTTGCCAGTAGTAAAAGATATTTGCGACAACGTCATCACGTCCCGGAGCCCTTCCACCGCTAATCAACGACGTTTTTATAAACACGTTCTGAACAAATATGTGGTTGACTATGTCCAGTCTCCTCCTCTCGTGCCACCCGACTACAAGCTCAAGACACGTCTAGACTGCCGCTGTCATATCTGTTCTGAGCTTAAGCTAGGGAATTTCATCGAAGATCCCGCGAAAAAGGCCACAGATGTTTTCATGGCTAATTTCGACAAGAAACACTTTGATCGCCACCTTGACGACGCTTATTTCACTAAAACTCTTATCGGACCTCCCCGTTCGGGCATGCTGCGAATAGGAAAAACGGATGCGTTGATGGCAGTTTCCCACTTACACGCATGGAACAAACGAGCTGTTGAGGCAAAGGCTCAGCTGGAACAGTTGAAACTGTATAGCTCTCTGAGAGAACTTCTGGGAGATAGTTACTATTCCTTAATGAATCACCCCAATCTTGAACTTCCTGATGGTCATCCTGCGGGTATACCAGTTGAGGTTCTGGATGATTATCCTGTGCTAGGGAGCGTGGTTCCCAGTAAGCGTCGTCAAGAGTGGTGATCTACACCTCCCCTGAATATGTGGCAAATATGGGCAGAGGTATTTTGAATCTGTTTGCTTTGTGTATCTTCTATAATACCCTATGTCATTTAATTTGATGCTATATTTCTACCACCAGATAGGCAATGAACATGCGAAACCATGCAGCTGCTGCATGTGCTAACCTTTTACATACAACCTGCGTTGGTCTTTCTAGAGCAGCGCTACAAAAACAAGTCCTGTTTACCAACATATATATTCCGCCAGAAATAATCACATCACCTCACCGCGCCACGGCATACTTCATCCATAGCGGATCATTAAGCAGCCTCTCCAAACATCCATCCGCCACCCCAACAAGAACCTCCATCCCTCCCTCGCGCGGATTCGGCAACACCACCTGCAAACCATTGATCACCCCGACATGCGGCGCCCGCACCGACTCAATATGTCCTCCCAGCAACGTACCCCAATCCAGATTATACAATGCAAAGTCAACCCATGAAGTCAACATGCAATTAAACCCTGGTAGATCAACCAGTGAGGCAGGAAATATCTTCCTAATATCGTCAAGCTGCTCAATCAAGGAAATCACGTCGTCCGTGTGCTGGCTGCTCACTCGGTGCAATGCCTTCCGGATCAAGACAGCTAGATCGGCCAAGCGGGCGGAGGTCAGCATTTTGCGCACGGGCATCGATACACCGATGTATTCGAGGAAGCAGCCAAGCGTGTTCGGGTGGACTGGAGGATCAGTCCGTAATCGGCCGTTCAGGGCGATGTTGAAGAATGACTCTTGATCCTGGTTGACACTATCTAGGGTTTCTAGCGGCCACTGGACGGCCATCACCGTTCGCCACAGCAACGCGGACAGAGCATCGTTGGTCGATATCCACGGAACGTCTGTTGGTTCCGAGGCGTTCTTGGGAGATGCTTCCTTCTTCAAGGCGGCCAGAGCCTCCGGAGAGAAATAGAAAACTTGAGCCCGGTGGTTCTTGGCCAACATCTTCGGCGGCAGGCCTTCGGGCGGCTTGAACGGAAGGACGACGTATTCGGGGTGGTCTTCTATTCGGCCTGGATTACGCCCTGAGGAGCGCATGACTTTCTCACGGTCTGTGAAAATGGCTGGTGGAAGCACGACAGGATCGGTTATTTTCAGCCCCTGTGCGCGACGGCATTCCTCTGCCCAGATCTGCATCCATGTTTGAAAGGAGGTACCGTCTCCGGCCATATGCAGGATACACCATGTTAGAATCAGTCCGCCGCGGATGAAGTTAGCTTGGACGAGCGAGATGGGTAGGTGCTCTCCCGGGTCTGTTGGCCAGATGTCACGACGGCACAATGTGTCGGCGTCGAAAGCGTCCACGGGAAAGTGTCGGGCTTTGAGTTTGGCATAGCTTGGAATTGTTTCTTGCGTTCGTAGGTCCTCAACTAGGATTGTCTCTTCTGCATTGGGCCCTAGCATCTGCAGCTTCATTACACTGTCCTGTCTGGCGGTCGGGTCGGGGATGGCCTTGCAGGCTAGAATGGGGAGGCGCTGGGCTGCGCCGTCGTAGCCTGCTTTCAGGGCTCTGGACACATCTTGCAGCACGTAATTCTCGCCTAGGGGAAAGGTGAACACGTATCGCATGTAGCCTCGGGGGCCGATAAGTTCGAGCGGAGTGAAGGTTGGCACGTCGGGGGCGATAGAACCCATGGCTGTCTGCTGGGGAGGGGGGCTAAAGATTGTCGGATTGGCAGTAGGCAAGGCTGAGCCGTTCTTCTCTGGACTTTTTATCTGTCGTAGCAAGCAGGTAGTCGGGTTGTACTTGCCCCGCTGGTTTATCTAGGAGTACAGCCTAGGGGGGCATGGTTCGATTTGCATGGAGTACTAGTAGTGAGATGAACAGAATTAGCCGTGCTCACCGCTACCTCCTCCAGGTTGTCATGATCATGACTACTATAGCTGCTTATGCTAATATGGCACATTATCCCTTTTCAGTAACTGGCAACCATCCTCCGGCTCGATACTACTGCATCGCCTGTTCGCTTGGAGTATCGGTTGAGGCTAAGGGCACGCGAAGGAATCCGCCCCCGGTCGTGTGCCTTTGGGGCCCCACGCCGGCGACTAATTGTCGGTCCCTGTGGCTGCTGTCAGCATTGAACTAAAAAAAGGTGGCTTGTCTTAATATCCGCTTGGAACGGGTTTCATCTCCGTGCCCGTAATGATTGGGTTGTATGTGTGGCCCCCAAGCTAGTCGGCCGATCTTAGGATGCGCCATTCCCGCTGCCAGGATGCTCAGCCGTCCGGAGGGGCCATTCCTGCTCGCCTTTATACCACTGCTTTCTGGTTTAATGAACCTGCTTGTGAGTTTTTTCTGTCGCTGCTGTTGTTGTGTTGTTACGGTCGGCGGACCATTATGGTCGTGGATCCTGCCATTGTCGCTATATTTGGCGAGCCTCCGGATGATATTGATTTGTCGGATAGTAGGGTTCAGCAGGATAATGCGGTCGTGATTTTTATTCTCTGCTTGGCTGTCATTTCGGTTGTCTTGCGCTTTGTTGCCAGGCATGTTCTGCGCAATTCTCTCATGACGGATGATTGGGTCATTATTCTTGCATTGGTGCGGTGACTTGTATCCTACATGAGATCGTTTCGGGAAGGCTAAGCTAATTCTACTTTGTATAGGTGTTTATCTGCACGACATCTGGTCTGAGTATCTCCGGTAAGGTCTACTTAGCTACTGCAAGCTTTTGCTTTGCAACGATTGAGACTAACAAGAACAGGAGGTTTCTTCGGTGCCGGCAAACATGTCTGGGCTATCAGCGTCACCAAGCTGATGACACTATTCAAGGTTAGCAGCACCACGCATAGCACTGTAGCCCGCGCACTGACATTTCAGATCCTCTACATCTACGTCATGATATATTCCGCCGTATGCGCCGCCTCCAAAGTCTCGATCCTCTTCTTCTACCGCCGCGTCTTCATGGCCTCCCACGCAGACCTTTCTCTGCGCATCGGCATTTACCTCGGCTTCTTCCTCACTCTATCCTACCCGATCATCATCTGCGTGACAATGGCCACGGCATGTAAACCCGCCTCTTACTTCTGGGAACAGTTTGGGGGTGCAAGTGGCACATGCATTGACACCGATACCTTCTTCTTAGCGCTGGGGATAATCAACATGCTCAACGATATCGTCGTCTTGTTGATTCCTTTCCCGCAGATCGCTAAACTACAGATGAATCGTCGCAAGAAGGTGGCTATTAGCGGTATCCTGGCCGTAGGCAGTTTGTAAGTCACCTCTCCTCTATACCCTTTTATACACGGTTGCACAGGGCTAACATTGGCTTGTAGTGCCTGCGTCGCCAGCATCGTCCGCATCTACTCCGTCGACGAATTCACCAAACGCAACGACGTCACCTGGACCCTCGGTCCCGTCTTCATCTGGTCGACCATCGAACCGGGGCTCTCCATCGTCTGCGCTTGCTTGCCTCATCTCGCCCCGTTGGTCCGGTTAGCGCATATCAAGCTCTCCTCGAGCCAGGATAGCAAGCCAACACATCCGAGTACACCGTGGCGGTCTCGGAGCGGCATCGCCAATGGGGGTGGCACGCCTTCAGCGGGTCGACGTGTGCATAGTGTCTTGTCGACCAAGTATACGTTTGATGGGCAGGATGATGAAGAGATCGGACTCACAAATCATGTTACGACGAGTACGAGTCTACGGAAACCGCACTCGATGGAGTCGGCAGAAAGGGAGGGTGCGAGTACGGCTGACCAGTCGATCATGGTGCATTCGAGTTTTGAGCAGTCTGTTTCGAATAAGTAGAGGTTTATACCGTTTAATTTGATATCACACTATCAATGAGGCTAACACATCTCTACTTTCCACCTCACTTCCTCCGAACAGCTACTCATTCCTAGCCAAAATATCATCCACACTCTCAACCTTCACCACCTCCTCCCTCTCCATCGCCCTCTTCACCGCATCAACCACCACCAACGCCCTCAATCCCTCAACAGCATCACACCCGGGCGCCTCCCTCCCCTCTAAAACCTGCACAAAATGCTCCAACTGCAAATCAAACGGCACTCCCTCATCAACCGCAAACTCCTCCACTTGCAACTTCTGACTCCACCCCTTCTCCCCTTCCACCCCATCATAACTCCACCTCTTCAAATCCGGCACACTCAACGATCCCCGACTACCCAAAACCCGATAGAATCCTCCTCCCTCACCACCTACCTTCGGAATAATGGGATTCTCACCCGTCCCGGCCTCGAAATTCCACGGCGACGGCGCACAATCACTCACCACGAAGGTACCCACCACCCCACTGGCAAATCGGAATGTGATCGCCGCGCCTTCTTCCGCCGTGTGGTCTGCATTACCATCTGGACCTCCGCGCTGGGGCAGGGTTTTCTCTGCGTAGACGCGCGTGATAGGACCGAATAGGTAATGCAGGAGATCCACGTCGTGGATGAGGTTGATGCTTAATACGCCGCCTTTGGTCTTGTCGCTTCTCCATGAGGTAGCGCCGGTGAAGTAGGATGCTGGCTTGTGGAGAGTCCATAGGCCTGATAGAGCGAGGATGGGGCCCAGAGATCCGGACTCGAGAATTTCCTTTGTTTTGGTGATGTAGGGGTTGAATCTCCGATGATGGCCGATGAGGATCTTCACGTCTGGGTGCTTCTGGTGCGCTTGGAGTAAAGGAAGCGCGGTGGTGATGGTGTCGCTGATGGGCTTCTCGAGTAGGATGTGGATGTTGTGGCTGATGAGTTCGAGAGCCACGGGGACGTGCGTGTGGTTGGGGGTGCAGATTATGGCGGCGTCTGGGTGCGGGATGTTGGGTACAGAAGAGAGGAGGGCTGATAAAGAGGGGAAGTAGAGCGTGTTGAGGGTTTTAGCCACGGATGAAGCGCTTGGAGAGGGGTCGACCAAGGCAAGAAGATTGGTGGAGGGGTTGTTGATGACGGATTGGGCGTGGCGGGGGCCGATGAGGCCGGCGCCGACGATGATAATGTTAATCATGGTATTTACAGGCTTCTGGGTGCAATTGCATGAAGAACGATGGGTTTTGTGCAGGTGAGAAGGGTGTTTTTATATCGGTGAGTCAAGTTGGGATTCCGCGGTGGGTCTGGTCTGGTTTGGTCTGGGGTAAATGCAGTCCCTGACCGGGGAGTGGATCTGGATGCATATGACGCTGCATAGTAATGCGGCTGTGGCTCTGGGGGCAACTTGTGGTGGGAATTATGCCTGACATTGTGCTGGGTAATTGGGGTGGCGTGGGAGGGCCGGAGAAGCGCTTACCCAGTTACATAATGTGTTTTGCCGGTGGGGTGCGGGCATTGATGGACATGGAATCTGTTCCGGCGGTATCTCCGCCGCTCGGAATCTATCCCGTAGACTGCTAGAGCACGAGGGTCTGCACTACGATTAGTGTGTTTGGTGGGGTTTACCCCGCTGGTCTACATTGAAATGGGAAATATATTGTCCCGGTAGTGCGGTAGAGGTGTATGAGTGTTTGATTGTTAAGAAAGATGGAAGATAGATTGCTAGAGCTTGGAAGCGGCATAATAATGGTGTAGTGTACGGCAATGTCCTATTCCGGATACAACACAATGATATCGAGTACAGGTGGGGAGAAACAGATAAGAAAGAAAGAAAGAAAGAGAAGGGAATAACCACGTTGGGCTTCAAGCCTTAGGAAGTGTAGGTGAACGACGTTACTGCCCAGCAGGTGGCCGTTCTCCCATTAGCATGACAACGTCAGGCACATCTGATTGGACGCGTTCAGAGCCTTGATGGGATATCGTCTTCAATCTCACAGTCACCACGTTGGTAACCATTGTCAAGATTGATAAGACATTGTATCCTGATAAAGACTGCTTTGAGTGCTCCCAGTGTTCACAAGCTATTGTTCCAGGTCTCTGCCAGTCCTTCTCGTTTCAAGTACTCGGGTTGGCCTCTGCATAGGCACGCAAGGCGATCGCAAGAAGAATTCCGCCAAGGTTCTCCATGTCGCTTCGATTCAATGTATTCCAGGGACCAAATTCATGCATCTTGAGAAACGGGCGTGGTGATCCAGGTGGCAATGAATTATTGAGATACTGAATATACTTATCATCATACTCTGCGAAGATAAGGTAAATCAGATGACGGTCTTGTGACACGTGAAGACGACTACGGTGGTTAGCGACAGAAATGGCAATCGAAGAAGAAGCTAGACACTTACCGACCCGGCAAATTCAGGACACCAGTAGGATCAGGGTCTGATTTAATCCAAGCGACCATCTGAGCAGCCTCTTGCATACAAATGGGGATCCGCTTCTTTTCCCTCAACATTGGCTTTACTTCGATCAATGCCCGTGCTCTACCACCAGAGCCTCCCTTTAGATAGCCATCCGTTCGTGCCTCATACGATCCATTAGTGAACTCTGCCTTGAAGGACTTGCGGTGCAAGGTCCAGCCACTGGCCTCAGGAAAATGCACGGTCAGAGCATTCAAAAAGTCCACAAGGGCGGTGTTCACAATCTGCTCGTCTTTTGTTTGTGGATACATCGTATTCGTTATCTCAGCTGGTCCTGCAGAGCGGAAGGGTGTCTCTGTCTCTTCACTATTCTCAACATTTTCATTTTCTTCCGGTGTTTTTGGCAATATTCCCGCTGATTTGGTTGGGGTCTGAAGCTGTGCATCTCTCATCTTGCGCTCTAATCTGCTCACATTGCTGCGTGTGCGATGGGCGACAGGGGTGAAGGCCACATCAGATCGGAAATTTTCCTCAAGGGCTCCTGCAGCTTCAGACTGGTACTGTTTAGCTAAAGCAAAAGTTCCCTCGAGGATGGAGCCAGTGGTGAAGCTTTGGCGGTACCTAGCCCAGGACTGGAAGGTTGACAGAAGCTTATCAGCCTTCTGTTTCCACTCCTCTAGGCCAAACACCTTCAGGTTCAGAGGTGCAGTGGAGGGAGGCCTCCAAAGAACTTGTAATAACAGGAATTGCTCATGGCGAATTGTAGATCCAGATGTGAGCGTAGAGTCATGGATACTCGATTTTGAGACCTTGCACACAGCAGCCCATTCATTCCAACTAGCCTCGCTGTGGGGAAGGGTGCGCATAGTAGCCATGACTGCTGTGTAGTGAAGTAATCTTGGTGATGGGAACCCGATGAGACTACCAGCCGTCACATCCGCCCTCACTTATACGGCAAGATCACAAGTGCGCTCAGCTGATTCCAATGAGCGTGCGTTCGCAACTACGCGCCCATTCTTGCGAGATAGCCATTTGCCATGTTCCTCTTGAGTAGCGCTGAAACGTCCTAGCTGGGGCCTGAACAAGATACCCAGTGAAGGACGGAGAATGGGGCGGCTAGAAGGTAGAGCGCCTAGTTATCGCCGTGGTGGGGGTGGATGGGTTCAGTGAGTGCATGGTTACCAGTGCAGAAGGTGCTATGACCGCTTCTGGTTGCCGCTGTCGCTATTTGATTGTGATCTAGGCCCCGATGTAGGCCAAGACCATGTTGGTCCTCCGAGCAATTGGCGGTAGACGTAGGCTAAACGCCCCGGATCATACCCCATAGGACAGGGCACGCGTACCAAAGAGGTGGGGTGCCTTAATGATTAGACATGACTTTCAGGCAACTGGCCAGTCAATCACGACTATCACTAGATATTAATTTAGTATTTATAGAAACGAATGAAAGACATGCACGAAGCAATGATCTTGCCAATCACTACGGGACCAGAAAAATTGGGCGGATTTAGAGATGTAGGTACGAGCTAGATCATTGAGCCGTTTTAGGATGTACCCTATGTTGCGTACTATCAGACAAGATTCGTTGGGGAACCACGCAAACTGAAATCTCTCTACAAGTATTAGTACTTAATAGTAGTTATCAGGATGTAAAACCCTGCGAGTACATCGACTCTTTATAACTATGTAGCAGCCTTGCGGGCTCTGGAGAGTTTACCAGAATCAGTGCAGTTTGATGTTCTCCGACCTTCCCACCACCAGCCCCCAAATGCGCCTCCATAGTAGTACAAGCGCTCGCATGGAATGAATGTATCCAATGGAATCCGAAATGAATGGATTTGCCAGCTCTTGTCTGAACTTCATTATTCCTGGCGCGTAGCTGCAGCCACTGGGATGGGACTTTTTCCCGGGTTCCGGGGCAACTTGCCCAACAGGGTGTGTATGCCTCAGGCATCAACTGTCTCCACCCAGTCCCGCAAGTTTACTTGCCCGTTTTTAAAGTTGCGTTCCCTCTCCGCCCATTTCATCTACCATCTTGATCCCCCTTCCTTTCCGTCTCACCATCACCTCTCAGTAGTCAGTCATCATGTCTGATCAGCTGCTTCTTCTTGAGCGACAAGCTCGTCGACATGCTTTGGTCAAGATTGAGGAACACATCAAGCAAACCCCTAATATGCATGTCGAACCAAGCGATCTGAAGGCGGCTGGTATCCGCCATCTCCCTTTGTCCCTAGAGGGGGGCAGAGACGGGCCATGTTTTTTCAAAGCCTATGAAGAGAACCTCCCCCTCCCAACCGAAGAAGATGCGTTCCTTAAAAACCAGCTAAACCCAGATCATATCATGTGGGACACTCGTGCATTGGAGGTCTTTCTGTTTTACCACTTTCAGGACTGCAGATCCTTTGCATTGCGCGAGTATCCGAACAACCCTCCCTTTGGCGTGTATCGCGAGTAAGCCGCTTCTTGTATATCCTGCTTCCAAATTAGTTTTCTCACTGATTTTCCATTATAGGATTGGGGATTTCAAGTTCGGCCAACTCTTGGAGTGTTTTGGTTTCAATTGGTATGCTGTATCAGTGACTGATTATCCTGAGCAAAACTATCCCCACATGAAGGCCATCGTGGAAAATGAGGTAATTGGTGACAATCGTCTGCTTCGTGGAGAAATCATGACGATCACCGATATTATGAGGGGTCGTCTAAGGTCCAAGACGCTGCGGCCGCACATCGTTGCTCCGGTACAGTCTTCCCCCGACGGATCCCATCCAAGACGTCTACTAATCATACTTTGGTAGATGTTGGTGCTCTCGCTCATGGGCCCCCGTCATGCCCGTGTCCTAGAGGCCGATTTTGATGGAACGATGCTTAATGTCCGTGCTTCGAAGTTGTATGATTTCACGCGGAAGAACACAGATGCCGTGCAGCTGCTGACGCGGTATTGGCTGGGTGGGGCCTGCGGCCAGACCACGATGAAATCCTAAGTTGATATATCTCATTGTGGCGTTTAGGTTTGGCGTTGTATATGAATTGAGACGGAACATGGGCATTGATCACGATAATATGGATTAGCTGACTGGTAACGAGCGTCGTTCTGGCAATGACGTCACATCTACGAGTTAGGTATAATGGGAAAATAACTTTGCATTCATCATGCTCGGGAAATGGAAATGGAAATTTCAAGGGTACATGCACAGAGAGCATTTCTACTAGACATAGGCAATAGTCTAGTAGACTCACTTGACATCACCAGTTCGTTCAAATTATTTCCTGTCCAGCTGCTTGTCACGTGCTGTTTATACCGAATGCGGCAATGCGGAGGAGATGACGATCCGCCGCTCTGATTGGTCAGCATCTGAGAGGGCGAGGAAGGACCTCCAGAGCCTCGGCTATTTTTAGATGATATTTGCACAGTTGATAGATCAGAGATATAGACTGTGAAGTGTCAAGGTGTTTTTCAACTTTCTCGAAAGACTGACCGGGCGGTAACACGTGGATGGCCTGATCCCGTTCTGATTGGCCCACAGGCGGGATGACAGGTGCACCGCCACGGCTCCGGCTCGACTTTTCTTCTCTCCCTGTCTTTCATCGCATCATCGGGCTTCATCCATCGCACACACAAATCGTCAGGATGCGCTGCGCTTCCCCCTTGGGATTCCCGTTGATGTCTTCTCCATTCCAGCTGTGCCCATAATCTTCAATCCGGCCTTCCCCGCCCAGGGATGGAGCCCACCCCGCTGGCTGCAATCATGTCATCTGATTCGACCCCCGACCCCCGGCTGGAGAAGCCCCGGCCGGCAGCGGTCAGTCGCATCAACTTCTTCACCTCCCAGCTAAATACCTCGATTGAGGCCTCCAGTATCGAGGACTTGTGCTCTGTGTATAAGCCCTTTGAGCTCCTTCTGGAGACAGGGGCCCACAGTGGCTTATGGTGGCTTGATATCACGGCTCCAGCGGAAGAAGACATTGAAGCTTTAGCGCGATTCTTCAACCTCCACCCCCTGACTACGGAGGATATTAAAACCCGTGAAACCAGAGAAAAGATCGAGCTTTTCGGTCACTATTACTTTCTCTCTTTGCGACCGCCGCGCCGACTCGAGACGGACACTGGCGTACGCATCGTCTCGCACAACCTCTACGCCGTGGTGTTCCGGGGCGGCGTTCTTAGCTTCAGTTTCGACCCCAGTCTGCACACTAACCATGTGCGACAGCGTATCAAGGAGCACAGCAGTCATCTGCTGTTGACCAGCGATTGGATTTGCTATGCTCTGATGTAAGCCACCACTACTTTACCTCTGTTACGGTGATGTTTACTGACGCTTGACAGCGATGACATTGTTGACGGCTTTGCCCCGTTCATCAGTCGTGTCGAAACTGGTGTTGTAACGGTGGAAGACTCCGTCTCCATCACTCGACCGGACGACATGGGACTAGCCTTGCAGCGTATCTTCAAACTGCGCAAGGAGGTCATGAACATTCGTCAGCCGCTGCACGATAAGATCGACGTCATCCGGTCCTTTGCGCGGCACTGCGATATCTCCGACACCTCGTCATCGCAGGTTGCCCTGTACCTTAGCGACATCTGCGATCACGTCGTTACCATGATTGCCAACCTTGAGCAGGCCGAGCAGATGCTCTCGCGGTTGCAGTCCAAGTACCTCACCCAGGTTCACTTCGATTCCGGACGCATGCGCAACGGTATTGCATCGGCACTCAGCAAGCTAACGGTTCTTGCATCTATTCTCGTGCCGATGCAGTTCATCACGGGTTTATTTGGAATGAATGTCAGAGTGCCAGGGAAGACGCATGATGGGGACAACTCACTCACCTGGTGGTTCAGCATTCTAGGTTTCATCCTCGGACTGACTGTAATATTCGCCTGGGTGGCCAAACGGATCGGACTGCTGGATCGATAACTGCTACACATACATACTATGTTGCATAGAGGCTACATCTTCATCGTACATATTTAATACTATATACCTAATGCTATACTATTTCCTTGGCCGAATCCCCTTATTTACGCCCTAATATCCAGCCCAAGCGCCCGCTGGCTCTCCCGCACCTTATCCATCAACACCGCCATGTCCTTCTCCGTCTCATTCCACTCCCGCTCTACGATCGCCTTGGCCTTCTCACTGCGGGGCACGAACAGCGCCTCAAACGGTTCCGGCGTCGACACAAAAGCTGAATCAAACGCCATATCATCCACCGGGACTGGTTTCCCATCATCTCCCAGCGGCGCCTGGATATCAAACGCCCAAAGAATTCTAGCCATTAGTAGAAACAACGAATTCCTCGCAATGTGCCGACCCGTGCATATCCGCCGCCCATATCCAAAGAAATTGCGAAACCGACCATTTTCCTTCCCAGTCGCCTCGAACCACCTCTCCGGCCGAAATTCCAGCGGATCATCCCACGGCTCATCAGTCAGACACATCGACCAGAACAACGGAATCACCGTCGCCCCCTTTGGAATCCGATATCCCATATAAGTATCATCCTTCCTCGCAGCATGCGGTATCCCACCCGGAACCATTGACCTCCACCGCAACGTCTCATCCACCACCGCCTGCACATACACCAACTTCTCCTGATCATCAAACGTCGGCATTCTATCCTCACCCACCACCTCATCTAACTCCTTCCTTGCGACCGCCACAAACCGCGGATCCGTCCGAATCGCCAACACAAAGATTTTCATCACCGCCCATGTCGTCTCAAACCCCGCATCCACCAAAATCCCCAGATTATACGCCAAATCCATCCGCGGCATCCCCTCCGCATGCTTCGACGCCGAGAACTCCTTCGACCAATTCCACGCCTCACTACTCAACCCCTTCTCCAGATGTCTTGTATGCACACTCGCCTCCAGCCGAAATAACTTCTCCGCCAGCCTCTTCCACGGCGCCACCACCGCCGGCAAGTAATTCAACACCGGAATCGCATCCACAATCCACGTGCCCACTCTCGCCGCGTAGGTAAAGTTCCCCTGAATGGTCCGCATATCGCGCAACTCCTGCCCCTTTGGCGAGAGAAGTCGGAATCCGTATGCCAACGCGAACATCAAACTCCCACTATATCTCTCGAAATGCGCGTCGAAGTCATTCGACCGCAGCAAGTCGAACATGAGCTGCTTACTCTCCAGGTTCTGTATAGGGTGGTATGTATTCGACGCGCGGGGACTAAGCAACGGGGCATCAAGTCGCTGGTGAAGTCGTAACCAGTCGTCGTATTGCCGGATGAGCATGTGCAGGCCCTTGGTGATGTTATTCGCCATGACGAGGTCTGGGCGGTCAGCGTAGATGCTGCCGCGTTTGTCGAGAAGATCGCGTGCGATGGTTGGTGAGGTTATTAGGATGAGGGTTTGGCGCCCGAATTGGGCTGACATTATAGGCCCGTAGGTTTTGCTCCATTGGTCGAAAACTCGCCACGGGAGGGTTTGAGGGGCTTGGTGCAGGTTGCCGATTAGGGGGAGGCGACGTGGGCCGGGGGGGAGGTTGCGGTCGCGTTTGTATTCGTAGAGGAGGCGGAGGGTGAAGAGGGCAAGGAGGGTAAGGAGGATGGTGGGCATTGTTGTGGTATGGATGGATGTACAGGTAGAGGGTGAAAGGTATCAGACTGGAGTGTTGGGCGGGGAGAGGGTCATGCTTATAAGGTGGTACTATTCTTATATACTGGTGCTAAGTATACTCTTCCCCGCTCTGATTACACGAGCAAGGATATTCCATCAACACTACCCAACTCATAAGAGGGTAACAGAAGACTCGGTTACGTTGCAATGACAGCCTTGCATTAGTTTGTGCTTCGGGCGGGTTGAGGAAGGCCCATTATAGTAGTGGGGAAGTCTAATATGGACAGTGGTAGGAGCAATATCGTCACGCTAGCTGTTGGATGGCTACAGTTTGGTGTCACTAAAACGCCCATGCATGCCACCCCCTCCACCAAGACACCTGTGCCGTCTGACGACCCGCTCAGATGCATTAGTGCACTGACGAGGCGTCTGTCACTTGACGCACGGCCGTTGAGGGACAAGGGCTGGCTGGTGAAGAATTGTAATCGGGGTTTATTATTGGTAGGTGGGTGATTTGGGCCGTTCTGGGCTATATGGTGTTCCAAGGCAGGATTGCAGGTTGGTAGTGTTAATGCCTGGTAGTTATGATATATATTTAACTGGTATTATGATTCGGACTAGCGGGACTGTGATTCATATTGCTTGCCAAGAGAACATTCAGATGTTAACGAGCATAGCAATATGTCAATACCTTACAATTAATGGTGAAGAAATGAGCAACAAGACACACGAGGCGCAGAAACAAAATGTTAGACGTAATGGAAAAGCGAATGTGTCTGTCTCACAATAATCCTAACTAAAGTCCATATCCTCCATCAACAACTAAACCTGCTCCATAGACATAGCTGCTCATAGGCGAAGCCAGGAATAGAATCGAGTCGGTGATCTCCTCCACATCGGCTACTCTCCCTATTGGTGTACCTTCGACTTCTTCTTTGAGGACCCCCGAGTCTCCCGCATCAGATATCATTGGCGTATTCACAAACCTGTATACTCTTCAGGAAACTGCAATGGAAGCAGCAAGGAGAGAATTGACATACCCTGGACAAACGGCATTTATGCGGATTCCACGGGGGGCGTAGTACTTGGCATCCTATGCTATTAATCAGCCGAGGTGAATCTTATTAGAGTTGGATAGGTATTGGAACCATTTTTGTAAGCCCCATCACTCCTATAGATTTGCGTAAGCCATGGACAAATTATGTCATGAATAAAATTGAAAAACATACCTTGTTTCGAGGATATATATGCAGGAAAAGGTATACCCGTAGCCGAGGCAGATATGCCTAGCGAGGAGCAGACGTTAACAATAACTCCACGACCACGGCGAGTACCACACGATCTATACATTATCAGAACTGGCACATATACCCATACAGCTATCATCATTTCATACCTCTGAGTAAGCATCTGCTGAAGAAGTGCCCTCTGCGACATCCACAAACCCGTCTGGTTAATATCAACTGTCCGCTGCCAGCCTTTTAGGGATAATTGATGTGTGGGCTTTCCTGGATCACCAACCCCAGCGCAGTTAACTCCAATATCCACGCGACCGAATTTGGTGGCGGCCTCCTGGATCGCATTGTTGACTTGTACTTCGTTCGTCACGTCAACAGATGCTGTTAGCA